TTAGGGTGTTCTATAACTTTAGGGCCCTCTATAACTTTTTATTTTTTAGGGTTAGTGTTCTATAACTTTAGCGCGTTCTATACCTTTTATTTATTCTATTACTTTAGTCCTTTCTATAACTTTAGACTATTCTATACTAGTAGCTATTATATCCTTTTTATAATACTTATTATATCATACTATTATCTATTATTCTTTACTGTTAAGTATATCCTTATATTTTATAAAACCTTTTCTCTACTAGCTAGTCCTACTATACTTTCTTTTATAACCTACTAGTATTAAATAATACCTTTATATTCTTCTTTTATACTATCTCTATTTCTTGCCTTATCTATTAAGTAGATATAGATAGAGCTAATAGATCTATAGTTAATATAGATACAGTAGTTATAGTAGAGTACAGATATTAGAGTAGATATCCTTATCTATATATTTACCTACTACTAATAAAATTCTAAGTTACTCTTATCTAGCGAATACGGGTTTATGGTTTGTATAGGGCTGCGCATGTCTACACGGTTTTACATATAAAAAAGTGTACCTCTAAGCTATTTTCTACTGCACTAACCCCGCGACGCAAAAATTAAACCAAAACCTATTCCTATAATATATAAGGAGGGCAAATAGATTCTTAAATACTAAATACCTAACTAACTAACTAAGGTTAAATCTGCTGCGCGCAGTTCTTGGATTAGGCAGTTAAACTAGTGTTGTTAGGCACTAAGGGGGCAATTTTTGCTCGTGTCCGCGTCTATACTCCCTACAACTCCCTATTGTTAGCGCTCTGCGCCTATTTTAGTAGCAGTTAGACTAAATTTAAAAGTTTTAGTTTTATAATAGCTAGCCTTGTTTCCTAGATTTCTGGCCTGGTTTAGGATTCGCTCTAATTAGTAGGTAATCAGGGGCTTAGAGATTACTCTTCTACTTAACTAGGCAGGCCTAGGCCTATATGCTAAAGCAACCCTGCTATTACGCCTAGTTTTGTAGTTAGCACCTAAAGTCCTACTATTAAAGTTTTAGCAGTAGGCAAAATTTAGGGTCTATAGATAGCTAGCACTGCTAAACTATTTAATAGATCTTAGGGGATAGCCCTGCCTAGCATCTGCTCCTAGTAAGCGTGGTAAAGCGTAGGTTTTCTCTACTTAAGGCATGTATGTGGCGAGTTTAAACACGCAGAAACGCCTGTTAGGCTTTGTTACAGACTATTCCTTAAGAAACTTAGTAGGGGTCAATTAAATTAGTTGCTAGTTGTAACTAGTGCCTTGTATGCTGTTATGCTAGTAGCTAGAATTACTTCTACGATTTCTTATCACATACTTTCCGCCTCCTTTTAGGGGTAGTGCTTGTGCGCTTCAGCGTATTAGGTATTAGGATTGTTACCTAGTTAATTCTGCTAGTAGTTATATGCTTATCTTAAAGATTAAGCTATGCATGTCTAAGTATAAGCAATTATACCGTGAAACTGCGAATAGCTTATTAAATTAGTTATCATTTATTTAATAGTACCTTACTACTTAGATAACTATAGTAATTCTAGAGCTAATACATGCTAAAAACCCTAACTTTAGAAGGGGTGTATTTATTAGATAAAAAACTAACGCCCTTTAGGGCTTCTTAGTAATTTATAATAACTTTACGGATCGCATAGCCTTGCGCTAGTGATAGTTTATTTAAATTTCTGCCCTATTAACTTTTAATAGTAAGGTATTAGCTTACTATAGTTTTAACAGGTAATAGGGAATTAGGGTTTAATTCTAGAGAGGGAGCCTAAGAAATAGCTACTACATCTAAGGAAGGCAGCAGGCGCGCAAATTACCTAATCCTAACATAGGGAGGTAGTGACAATAAATACTAATATAGGGCTCTTTTAGGTCTTGTAATTAGAATAAGTACAATTTAAACCTCTTAACAAGGAATAATTAGAGGGCAAGTCTAGTGCTAGCAGCTGCGGTAATTCTAGCTCTAATAGCGTATATTAAAGTTATTGCAGTTAAAAAGCTTGTAGTTAAAACTTAGGTCTAGCTAGCAGGTCTGCCTCACCGCGTGTACTTGTCTAGCTAGGCCTTCCTTCTAGAGAACCTTATGCCCTTTACTAGGCGTGTTAGGGACTAGGACTTTTACTTTAAAAAAATTAGAGTGTTTAAAGCAGGCCTTTGCTTAAATACGTTAGCATAGAATAATAGAATAGGACGTGCGGTCCTATTTTATTAGTTTCTAGGACTACTATAATAATTAATAGGGATAGTTAGGGGCATTAGTATTTAATTGTTAGAGGTGAAATTCTTAGATTTATTAAAGACTAACTACTGCGAAAGCATTTGCTAAGGATATTTTTATTAATTAGTAAACAAAAGTTAGGGGATTAAAGACAATTAGATACTGTCGTAGTCTTAACTATAAACTATGCTAACTAGGGATTAGGCGATGTTCTTTTTCTAACTCGCTTAGCACCTTACAAGAAATTAAAGTTTTTGGGTTCTAGGGGGAGTATAGTCGCAAGGCTAAAACTTAAAGAAATTAATAGAAGGGCACCACTAGGCGTAGAGCCTGCGGCTTAATTTAACTTAACACAGGGAAACTCACTAGGTCTAGATAAAATAAGGATTGACAGATTAAGAGCTCTTTCTTAATTTTTTAGGTAGTGGTGCATAGCTATTCTTAGTTAGTAGAGTAATTTGTCTACTTAATTACGATAACAAATAAAACCTTAACCTGCTAAATAGCTAGGCTAGCTTTAGCTAGTTGCTAGCTTCTTAGAGGGACTATTAGCTTAAGCTAATAGAAGTTTAAGGCAATAACAGGTCTATAATACCCTTAGATATTCTAGGCCGCACGCGCGCTACACTAACAGAGCTAACAAGTTCTTTACCTTAACCAAAAGGTCTAGGTAATCTTATTAAACTCTGTCGTGCTAGGGATAGAGCATTGCAATTATTGCTCTTTAACAAGGAATACCTAGTAAGCGCGTGTTATTAGTATGCGTTAATTACGTCCCTACCCTTTATACACACCGCCTGTTACTACTACCAATTAAATAGCTTAGTAAGGCCTTTAGACTAGCTTAGGGAGGTTAGTAATAACTACCCTAAGCTAGAAAGTTTATTAAACTTAGTTATTTAGAGGAAGTAAAAGTCGTAACAAGGTTTCTATAGGTAAACCTGCAGAAGGATTATTACCTATTTTCAAAGCACTGCCGCCTTAATTAGTAGCAGCAGTCTACTTTAATTCTGCCTATGTTTTTTGCGTACTATTTGTTTCCTTAGTAGGCTTACCTACTAATTAGATCCCCTAAAACCACTTGCAATTGCAGTTAGCGTTAGTAACAATATAATAAATTACAACTTTTAACAATAGATCTCTTAGTTCTAGCATTAATAAAGAACGCAGTGAAATGCAATAAGTAGTGTAAATTGTAGAATTTAGTAAATTATTAAATCTTTAAACGTATATTGCGCCCCTTAGTATTCTATAGGGCATACCTATTTAAGCGTTATTTGTACCCTTAAGCTCTACTTAGTGTTAGGTGTTTGTTCTACTTAGGACTTGCCTTAAAACAATTAGCAGCTAGCATATTAGCCTAGAGCGTAGCATATTTTGCGCCTCTTGTTATAGTTATTAGTATCTATTAAGATACTTTTTAAGCTCTTAACCTTAGATTAGGTAGGGATACCTGCTAAACTTAAGCATATTAATAAGCGGAGGAAAAGAAACTAATAGGGATTGCCCTAGTAACAGCGAGTAAAGCGGCAATAGCTTAAATTTAAAATCTAGCTCTTTTAGGGTCTAAGTTATAATTTGCAGAGGGCGCTTTAGCGTTAGCAGCAGTCTAAGTTCCTTAGAATAGGACGTTATAGAGGGTAAGAATCCTATACGTAGTTGCTA